GTTGGTGTGCTGAACTATTTTTTGACCAGACACAGCAAATTCACCAGCGTCTTTTTGTGAGGGCCATCTTCTCATCTAACTCTCAAAGCAAATAAATATATATATATTTCTGATCATGGTTAAATTACAGTGTGCGATTTCCCAAGGGATGCTGGGTTTTCGTTGGATATTATAGTCTAGTCGCCTATGTCTGTGGCCATGGTAGCCAGTTAACTGTGTTTAACAACTTCACTTTTTATAACTTTACAAATCCTCTGATAGAAACGCATAATCTCCCCAGTCTTTGAAAGCCTGAACTCTTAACAAGATGGGTTGTGGTGCGATGTGGCGCCTAAAACCCAGGGAGTCATAAATATATTTATTAGGCCCAGTAAATGAGGGAGGTGAAATCATTATAAATACACTTTCCTTGGGGAATAAATTATGGCACACTGAGACAACTTCCCCGCAAAGTCACACCTCTGAAAAAAGCACGAAACTGCCAAATGGGATACGGGTGTTTTTATTGCTTTTTGCTGTATGTGTGTGTGTGTGTGTATGTGTGTGTGTGTGTGTGTGTGTGTGTGTGGTCTGAGCCATGTCACATTTTGGGACAAGTTTCGGACTTTACACCAGCTGAAAGTTGGACAGTGCATCTAATTAGGGCCATAATAGCTGTGTGCAATTGCATTTAGCTTCAGCTAAAAAGTTTTGCGTCTCCATTGAGGTTAAGGTCTGGGAAGCCTCCAGGGAATGAATATGCAAATCAATGAAGTGTTTCCAAACCTGATATAAACAAACATACAGTGCTGTGCTTGTAAATAAAAAAATAGAAGACAAATAAAAGAAATAGTGTTGTGTTCAGGGTTGCATTTTCAAACACTGGTATCCTTTGGAAGTTATGATTCAGCATTAAATAGATACCAAATGCAGAAGAAGCTGCTGAGTGATGGTCAGAGCTTTAGTGTGAGGCAGAAATGATACAGTGTAAGAATGACCTGTCAAAGCTGCTGAGTATCATCCCTTAAAGCTTTTGACACAATTTAAGCTGAAATTCACTGAGTCTCCCCTTCACTGACACTTCGATATCCTGCTGATACACTGCGCTTCTTTGGCTCTGACAGCCTGTGTGATTATGTAAATGTACGTGGTTCTGTGTTCACACACACACGCACACACACACACACACACACACACACACACACACACACACACACACACCATGTCCATGTGTGAGCTGGAATTGGTGAAACTGACGGATTCACAGGTGTTATTGACTAAGGTAGAGATGCAGTAAGGTTATGGACCCGTTTGACCTCCTGCCCCTGCGTCCCATGTCAATATCAGTGGCAAATATTGATCCTTTCAGGCAATCCGGCTTAATTGAAGGGAGCCCCTTCTGTCTATTGAATGGTCAGAGAACGAGATGAATGATGGTGAGGGGATTTTATCCACATGAGGGAGAGAAAGGGTTGATTAGCCAGTGTTGTTTGTGGGGAAACTACACTTACTGAATGTTCTTTACCCACTGTAATGGGAACACTGGGTGCTGTTAGGCTATGTGGAATCACTATAATGTACCTGTGGCACTTAAGAGCGAGGTCACAATGACTTTGCTGTTGTTCATGGTGTCATTATAACCCCAACATAAGTTTGAAATCTTCTGTCTGCATTAAACCCACTGCAGCATCCTCATACTACTGTCGAAACCAAGTAATATTCTTTAAATATAGATTCTAAAATCCATGTATTATTATAGGAATGTAGTGGTTCTTTCTTCAAGGAATCTTGGCGTATGCAAATTGTTCTCTTGGTCCTGTGGGTGGTCTCTGCAGAGTTTTCTCAAAAACCCAAGCATGAGTAAGTTACTTGAATGACTCCTGCTGGGAGAAGTGCACTCCTGAATCCAAATTGATGTGAGCACAGGAGAGATTGTTGTTTTTCAAAAAAGACATTTGCACACTCGTTAAGCGTCGCAGTCTTTTCAGTCTTTCTAGGGGCTTTTAGCAGATATGCATCAGAATACAGGCCCGCCTCATTTGATAAGATTTTGTCCCACATACCTCATATCTGTGAGGGCGTTTGTTGTCAGATATGACCTAGAAAAAGAAGCGAATAACTGCTCATTTTCTAGCTATAGTGCAGAGTAAAAAACACCCAAAGAACAAAAGTGAGATCATGCTGGAGTCTGCTGCAAATACAGCGGTTTGGTTTAAAGCAGATTCTCTTTCCTAAAAGCATTCATATTTTTCATTTCAAGACACTGACAATTAATTCTAAAGATCTGTAAACCAAAGTGAATTTCTGAAATTGATTTTACTTTAAAATACATACATACAATAATACATGACTAAATTATTTACATGGACACTGGAAGATATTAGCCCTTGTGGGTATAATATTTCATATTTTATCTGTAATATGCATGAACAAATATATATTTCATTTTTTTTTTTTTTGCCAAAAAGTCATTCATGACTGTATGTTAAAAGCAATGTTTGCATGTTTGAAGACATTCAGACCCCAGATTGATCCCTGTTAATACTCTAATGAACAAACCACAATAAGATATAACAGATACCAAATAGATAGAGATAGAGATGAAAAAAAGTTATTTCGCCGCCAATCACAGATATATACTTTATGAAAACTCATTGGTACTAATGAGATAATGTGTCATGTACTGTAGTGGACTATATTTTTAAAAGCAATTCTCAGAATGTTAGGAAAGTCCCTAAGTACGAAGATCACAAAACAATGTTTAAGTAGAGCTCCACCAATTTAACATTGCACTCCTATAACGTCACTTCACGTCACTGTAATGATGGACAGATTAAAACAAAAGATCAAAATTGATGTAGCAGCTGGTGACATTACCCACAATGCAACTCGTCTGCCAAAAGTGTGGTCAGAGATTGTGGCCTGTGTTATGTTTTTAGCGGCTAATGTAGCCACAAGCAGCTAGCCTCAAGCAGAGATGAGGACGGGGCTTTGGGTCTGGGATGCACTTCTTTCACTCTACACCCCCAGATTTTAATTTTCAAATTTGTTCAGCCCCAACTGACGCTGACTCAAGTGACATCACATGAGTCAATTTGATTAAGCGTCACACAGTTCCTAATGGAACCACTAGAGGTTTATAGCCTACTGCTTTTACCTGAAATTGGCAGTGCTCACCAGGGGTACACACCCAAGGCCCGGATTACCCACTGTCATTGACTCTTATACCCACCCTGTATATAAAGTATGCATTACATTAATGCACCCACGTTCTTCTGCACAGCTTTCTCTTTCTCTTCTTATCTTTATCTATTTATTTTTTGAAAGTACTTTATTTTTCTGTATGATTTCTGTGTGATTTGAATTTGAATAATTGTATATTTGTATATTTGTATATGTATATATTTTTATGCACCAACTGCACCAGGTCACATTCCTCGTAGGCATAAAAACCTACTTGGCAATAAACAAATTCTGATTCTGATTCTGATTCTGATTCTGAGACCCCTAAACACCCAACACTTTTTCCCTACTGGCATTCTGTGAAGACCTGCCGTACTACTCTGCCCCTTTTTGGTTAGTGTTTGTTGCCTTTGTTTGGTTTGTTAAATTTAGGCAGATTTAGATTTGACACACCATACTTCAAGGTAACACTTGTGACTGCATCATTGGAGCTAAATAAATACAGTTTTGCCCATACATTATGAACTTTGGTTTTCCTTTTCATTATCCAATTTAATATATGGGCCAACAGATATCATATTTAGAAACCTATGCATTAAAAATCCAAATGCAATGAATTATTTTTATTTTTATTCCAAAATAATTGTACAGCTGTAAAATGCTCAAACTCATGAAACACGGCACAAAATGTTTCTATACATAGGTGTGGAAAAATGGCTCAACAGCGCCCTCTAAATACAGCCCCCCCCGGCATGTTTTACCCATATGAAAATCTGTACGCACATGTATTATAACCAGACGTACAAAAAAGCCTCTTGGACCCATATGCCCCATCAGAAAGTCACCATTTTGAATTTAGTAGGTATTTTTGGTGACATTTCGCATTAAACAGGAAGTTGTCATTACCATAGTACATTTTGTCCAATCTCTCAAACATTTCACATGTTTGATAAGAGTCCCACCTTGAACACGTCTACATGCCAATATTCAGTACTAACCATACTGCCGCATACTGAAAACAGGAAGTAAGCCTTGTATGGCAATTGTCATATGATTATTGTGAAATTTGCACGGTGTGGTGTACGCGTGATATGGTTTCATAGTAGCATATATGCAATATTATATTTGTATGCAATTTGTAATATTGTATTATAAGTTTTTATGAACCAAATAAACATTTGTGTACAAACTGTAGAAAGCCATGTCATATGTACAGCAATGTCTGTAATGAAATGCACACAAAAATACATCTGAAGTGTAAGATATGTGCATAAATATCCAAGACACATCAAGTCAACTGCTGAATTATAGTGGCATCTTTTTTGCTCCAGTTCAGGCACCTTATGCAGCAGTACTTCTGAAGACCTATGAACAGACTTTGATGTATAAATTAGGGGAGTCTGAATGTGTTTTTTGAGCCCTCAAACAGGTGTCGGGGTCTCCTGTAGCCCAGTCAGTACATTAGTACATCTTTATCATCAGATTGTGGAAGATTCCATATTATGTTGACTCAAAACAACTTATGGAGTGCACATCAAAACTGTCCACTACAGTAAAACAAGCCAGCCTATATGGTCCATCAACATCCCAGACTGGTTGGACATCCCAGCAGCAGCAGCAGCATGAGGAGGAGAAGGAGGAGGAGGAGGAGGGGAAGGAGTAGGAGGGAGTCTGTTCCGCTTGAATGGCCGGAGCAGTGAGGAGGCTGGTGTGTGTGTGTGGGGGTGGGAGACATACAAGACAGCACTCTCTACTCTTTCTCTCTCTCTCTCTCTCTCTCTCTCTCTCTCTTTCTCTCCTTCTTTCTCCGCCGAGCGCGTGTGTGCGTGCGTCCCGCTCCAGCTCCAGCTCCAGCACGGTTCGAGGAGGGAGGGAGAGGAGAGGGAGGAGGGAGAGACACACTTGACGCATCGGAGTGAGTGAGTGAGTGAGTGAGTGAGCACACGGACGCTTCACTTTCCCAATATGCAACCTGCGAGACGCCACGCCGTCAGCTACTTGCGCTACTGACACTGAGAGAGAGAAAGGGAGGCAGGGATGGAGGCACAGTGGTAGGAGCGGCGCAGAACAGAACAGCACAGCACAGCACAGCTCGTGAATGTAGCGCTGCACAAAAGAAAGAGCAGCATCTTTTGCGCACAAGTCCGACGGATATTTTTTTTTATTTTGGCCGGGAGCGTCGCCGCGACTCGACAGTGATGTCTGTGTGCAGAATTTTGTTTAGTGACAAAATACGGATTAATCTGAGGCTGTGAGTTCCTCGGAGACATTACTGCTGCGAGGACAGGTAAGATTATTATTATTATTCTGATTCTTTTTTAATCATCATTAGGCTATTATTAATATCCCATTCTTTTCCACATAGTAACTTCAGCCTCCTCTCAAGTGAAATCCAGCTCAGCAGCAGCTCATACACAAATATTATACAGCCCGGTCCACATCCTAACTTTTCCCAGATTACACTCAGACCTTGAAGCCGTGTCAGGGGGAGGCAGCAGCAGTCGGGATTGCCTTCTCTGAATTTCACCCTCTGCTGATCTCATTTGCCTGCGTCTACTTTGTTGTGGGACGATCATGGTGGAGGGAAAGTAATCTGCGAGTGTGTGCGAGCGTCCTTCCGATCAGTGCAGATGTTTAGTAATCATCCGGCGTTGACCCCCCCACATGAATAATCCCTGCGGATTTTTGCTGATTATGCTGTCGCCGCTGCTGACCTACCGCGGCCACGGGACTCCGTCTAGTCCCGGATACCGCGGGAATAAACCGGACCAACTTGAGCTCCAACAGCAAGTGTACATGTGTAAAATTGATTTGTGCACTTTTAGGATTAAAGTAAACCCAAACTGTTTGAAGATCATTGTAAATGTAAGTTATGGATTTGTTTGGTAGTTTGTTGCCTTATGATGCGCCTATAAGTGGAGATCATAATGAATCAGCCTCTCTGTCACTACCACTGCTCTAATGGGGTTCATCAGTGCATCTGTCAGTCACTGTTAAAGCTGCCCAGTGGTATCCTGTGCTGGGCCTGCAGCCTGATGACCAGCAAATGCCATATAAGCCTGCTTTAATATGTTAATAGATATGAGCATCTGTGCAGCTTCAGCACATCTGACTGCCAACTTCTGCCAAAACTGTAAATGATGACTGAAAGTGATTCCTGCTGAAAGTCTCTGAGACATACAATAAACCTTGTGTGTGTGTGTGTGTGTGTGTGTGTGTGTGTGTGGCTGGGCACAGTCAGGGACAATGTGTGCGTGTGATGATAACACCTGTCAGAGCCCCACTCTGACAAATGGCAAATGAGCATCTATCTGCACATTGTTCGAGCAGCTCCAGTATGGCTCTGTGTGTGATCTGTTGCACAGACTTCTCATCTGACAAGAGCTGAACTTATTCTAAAGGTTATAGCGCAGGAAAAAAAGAGAAAACTCTACCTTAAAGGGGGCTGAGGAAGATTATTCCGCAGCTCAGTCTTGATTTGTGAACATGAGCGTAGGATAACTTTCAAAAAGCCTGAGACAAGAGAGCTGAGACTCTCTTGAGATCTATGCATAAATATTTAAGATATATATATTTTTTTAAAAGGCTGAATTAAAGTCTGGGGAGGTGGAGAGATTGTGCAACTAATTTAACTGTCAAATGATCAAAAACTCACCATACGAAGATGTATAATCAAGAGACTGCACACACAAACTGGAGCTCAGTAAACCGCATGTTGACTGGCATCTGATGGGCTCCAGTGCATCCAGCGGCCTCACAGGAAGACAGCCCTTTAATGGCCTGGCAACGTCCTGAAAGCCAACAAGCCTGTCAGAAGTGACGGAGCACAGAAGTGACATTAAAAATATCCAGGGATAGGTGCATTTAGAGGCGTGGCATAAAATTTTCATCGCATAGTTTCCGCAGGAAGTATCGAAGCAATGTGTCATCAGGGTCATTTTTATTTCATGTCCCTCCAGGAAAGCTAGCTCAAGGAATAAAATAAAGGGGGAATGTGTTTCTTTGAACGTGTGTGAGAGATGATGGAACTTTCCATGAGGGCTGCCCGTTTCCTTCTTGTCTTACATACAGAACTACTCTTCACATTGACTTGTTTTGCCACAGGATATCCTGTAAGTGCTGACATTCCAGCCACATGGACAATTCACATAAATCACAATAGTTTGGCCATCAGTCTGGCAGCTGTTTAAACTGCACAGGGGCAGGCTGGGAGCTGGGGAGGGAAGGGTAATAAGACTTGTTGCTTCATCCTTAACCTTGCTTCTTGCTTTTCTGCCTCTTTGGCTAAATGTTGGGCTGGACAATCCTTACTAATGGATTGTTGTTAAGGAATATAACTGTTATTGGAGCAATATATGAGTTCTGTTTTGTGCAGCAGTAGTTCCCAACCTTTACTGCTTGTAACTCCTCACCACAGAGCAGTTCAGCCTGGTGTTTTTGTCTTTTCATGCTGACTTGTAATGATTTTTTAGGCCTGAAAAAAAATATAGATGAGACCTGAAACAAGGGGTTTCTACTGTGAAATGAATTGATTAGTCATTCAACAGAAAATCAGTCGATTAATCGTTTGAATCATTTTTCAAGCAAAAATGACAAATCTCTAGTTTCAGCCTCTTAAATGTGAAGACGTTCTGCTTTTGTTTGGCCTGTGACAGCAAACTGGATATTTTTGAGTTTTGCACTGTTGATTGGACAAAATGTGCAATTTGAATCTGTCACCATCAGCTCTGAGAAACTGTGATGGGTGTTTTTCACTATTTTCTGACATTTTACAGGCCTAACAAGTAGAATAGATGAATAAAAGAAATGTTTATCTATGTAACGATTAATCGGTTGTAGAGCTGCAATGATTACTCAAGCGATGGGTTAGTTGTCAACTATTAAATTAAACAACAACTGATGATCGATGAATCATTTTAAGAACAAAATGTCCAAATTATCTGATTTCGGTTTCTCAGATGTAAAAAATGTTTTGGTTTCTTTTGTCCTCTATGACAGAAAACAGAATATCTTTGGGTTGTGGACAAAACAAGACATTTAAGGGTGTCACGTTTGGCATTGGAAACTGTGATCAATGTTTTTCACCATTTTCTGAAATTATATTGACCAAACATGAAACAACTAATCGATTAATCGTAAAAAATGGTCCAACAGATTAATCCATTATGAAAATAATCGTTAGTTGCAGCCTTAATCGTTTGGTCTATCAGGAGAGAATTCCCATCACAGTTTACAATGCCCAAGTTGATGTCTGCAAATAACGTGGTTTGTTGGACCAGAAGTCCAAAAATATTCAGTTCACTAAAATGTAAGACTAGGAAAAGAAGCAAATTCTCAATTTTGAGAAGCTATAATATATACTATATATATACTAATATACTATAAAATGTGTGGAATTTTTGCTTTCTCGTTGATGAACTCATTTATTACACAATGAATAGTTTCACATCTCATTTCAGTCGGTCATTTCTATCTTTGTATTGCATTTTTGACTTTTTTCTGACATAGGCCTATAGACAAAATGATTAATCGATTAACAGAAAATAATCAGCCAATTAATCTAACAGTTAGTTGCAACCTTGAAATGGCAAAGATTGGAGAAATATTTCATTCTTTTGGCTCGTAAAATTTGTTATTTTCAATTCAATTCAATTTCAATTTAATTTTATTTGTATAGCGCCAATACATAACAGAAGTTATCTCAGGACACTTTTCAAATAGAGCAGGTCTAGACCAAATTCCTTATAACATTTTCATTATTATGTGGCCCCTTAGATCCATCACACGACCCCTTGTTGAGAACCACTGCTGTCATCAACCCATTAACCCTACACCCTAATAGACAATATAAAATTTAAAGTGTGTTTTATTTTGCCACCATCTTGCTGATCAGGTTAAAAATGGCTCTTCGCAGGTAGCAAGCAGTAAATAAAAACAAATGCTGGTGTGAGTTGTTAAGCACAGCTGCATTTTTGCTTCACTCTGCTGGATTTTCAAAGTAAACAGCGCTGTGAGATTTTCCACAACACCATAATGGATGAGGAAGCTGCAGGCCCCTGATACTACTTTACCGGAGTGCAGTGCGGTTTTATGTATGCCACGCATTACTTGTTTGAATCTGCCATAATAGAGCTGTTTGACAAGCTGAGCTGCGAGTGGTGCAGAAATCTTGCCTGTCAAGCAGGACGCTGGAAAATAACACGTTTACTCCTTCGCCAAACTCTAAAAAAAGGTATGATGGTTGTGATTTAGGCTGTACTCCAGGAGTGTCGGCACACCATCGAGCAGATACAGAAAAGATGAATTTTGTTCTCACTGCATCAAAGTGACTGTGGCTTATAGAGTCAGCACGGAAGGAAAACGTAATGTAGAGGACTCACTGTACTACTTGATTCAATTTTGTGAATTCTGGTTTCTTTTTTGGGAAATAAATCTGATAAAAAACACAATTATTACAGAGGAACTCTTCAAAAGGCAGTTCCTCTAAATTAGTTGCTTTCAGTTTGATGTTCTCCCGTACAGCGCAGACTGGATCTCATTGAGACAAATCTTTTATCTGCATGAGTCTGCATGGAAAATCTTCCACTCACTGCACTTATAGGACGATGAGGAATTGTTGCCTAATTCAGTCAAGGAAAGGTCATGAATAAGTATGATTTACACGCAAATGAAAGTGATTGTCTGCACACTGCTGTGAGTTGGGAGCCCACAACTGTCAGGGATAAGTACACTCTATGTACTTGACAATATAGCAGAGCTCCTCAGTGTTGTCTACCTAGTCCCGTCTCTCTGTTCATTTTTAATATTGGGATTGAAGGAAAAAAAGATCCAAGGCAGCTCATTGAGACAGCTCCATTTCCTGCTCTATTTATCTAGTCTCATTGGTTCTGTAAATGCCCTATTTGTAATCCAATCATATTAGAATAATTTATCTGCTTTAGCAATGCCATATGATGCTCTGTCACTCCTAGGCCTATGGTTTCAAGGCACCACGCTCCTTTGGGGCAAGTCTTCACAGACTGTCTGAGCCTGCAACGTTTCCTAATTCAAACATTGTTGCGCACGGCCTCTCCTTGGGAATGGCTTTAATTGAGTGCTTAATAAGAGCAACGCCACACTGCTAGGAACTTCGGGGGGGGGATCTGATGAGCACTGGGAGTGCTGCATTATTAAATGTACTTATATAAGGCCTGGAAAAGCCTTCTTTCCAAGCAATATCAGGATGGGGTCAGGTTCATCCATGATTATTCTTGTGGATTTCCTTTTTTTTTTTTTTTTACTGAAGAT